TCTTCTTCTTCTTCTTCTTCCTCTCTTCTTTTCCCTCTTCTTCTTCTTTTCTTCTCCCTCTACTTCTCTTCTTCTTCTCCCCACGCCCCACAGCTCCTCTCTCTGTTTCGAGAACAGAGAACGTGGGAGGCGATGGGATAAAACCGAAATTTTTGATTTTCTTTATTTTTTTCTTTTTGCAACTTAATAGTTTAGTCCTTGAAATTTCTATATTTACATATGGGTCCTCCAATTTACATATAAATCTTTATTAATAAATTTTCAAAAGTGAGGGATATTACACCCTCATATTTCTTTCAGCGGACTCCTAGCCAGGCTCCCGATCTTGTGGTGAGTTCAACGAGTAGCCGAGCCTTCTCGGTGATCTCCACGAACCTTCGATGATCTCTTCGGCGGACTTCCGAAAACTCCAACAAGTCCCTGATTTCTTTTCGGTTGGTTCCGGTAGCATCTCCGACAAATCTTCGAACTCTCGAACACCCATCGAACTTGACTCCGGTAGACTTGCTTTATGTCTTCAAGCTACCGTAGTTAATCCTGCACATGTAAAACAAAAGTTCGATCTAGACAATTACTCCTATGCAGTTAATCAAGTTGTCCGGCATGTCATTGGTCCCTCGATGCTTCATCTGATTCTTCGGCGCATTGTCCTCTCTTACGGCCTATTGCCCAATCGACCAGTTAACTCTGCAACTCCGACATCCTTGGCGCAATACCCACTCTTCTTGGCCCGATGCCCGAATCCATGGCCCGAAGCCTTCTGTCAATACGTTGAATGATCTAATGGCCCGACATCCAATCTTCTGACATGTTCCTCCGGCACAACATGATTTTCTTGCTTTAATTGTCTCATCCTGAACGAAGCACCCTGCGTCACTCAAAACACAAATTCAATCATAAACACATATCAAGTAGTTTCATCATCAAAATACGAGATTCAACAATCTCCCCCTTTTTGATGATGACAACCACTTAATGACGGAATTAACCTTAACTCCCGGAGTTTAAACAAACTCCCCCTATCAATATGTCATATTGATAGAACCTTAAATTCAAGCCAAATTCAAGTCATTGCAAATATTTATTATGAATATTTGCAATACGTCATCATGCATAACATGATCATACTTCTCCCCATTTGTCATCAACAAAAAGGAGAAGATATAAAGTTCAACACATTACATAAAAAAATATAGTGTTAAATTTTATCATCATGCAATGGAGCAATTAAAGATGTGAAAGTTTAGCATGTTTGCTTTTCTTGAGATAGCAACTGTTTGCTTCTCTTTAGACTAGAAGCTAGCAATTTTTATGATATGCAAGTTTTGCTACATGCAAGCTAGCAAAAAATTTCGAAAGCAAATGCAAGATAACTTTCTTGTGTATCATGATTCTTGCTTCCTATTGCAATATGCAAGTTGCAAGTTTTTAAAATGTCCAAGTTCAACACATTGCATAATTAATATAATCTCCTAGTTTTATCATCATACAATTTTGCTATTATCATCGATATGCAAGGTAGTATGATAGTAATTACTACAACATATAAGCTAGTAAATTTTACAACACTTTTAGAACATGCAAGCTAGCAGTTTTGAGATG